TTTTTATAAAATCACAGCTTTTACATGAATGATGATACAGAAATATTGTACGTGTACATCATTTGACATCTAGAAGCTGTCAATCTTGATGTTCCCACGCTCTCATTGRTTGAAAGTCGATAGTGCAGGCCGCGGAGGGCTWTATTATATGTGCAWAGAGCCCCCYGCWTCAGAAAATTTYGTTATTGAGTATTTAACACAATATGGCAGTTGAAATCTCATGTATTTTGCTGTGATCAAAACTGTATATCAATCTCGGGTGAATATTTGTTTTTCAGAACATCCAGTTTCCGCGGGCAGCTTTCACGGCATAATGCCCTCGATTCAATTACTCTATTGTTTAATCAGAACACCAGATTGCCTAGACAAACAATATCACTGCGTCATAATATTATAGGAAAAAGCGTATTAGGCCTTTTGCATGAAACGGTCACATGGTACTAAATCCGCCATTCTGGATGACAAAACACCCACTGGGATGTGCAAAACAAAGAAAAGTCAAGCTTGACGGGCTGCGTTCCTTTTGTTTTTGAGGTTATTTCCATTCTTTTGTCATCCAGTATGGCGGATTTAGTACCATGTGACCGTTTCATGCTAAAGGCCTATTGACGCTGATCAAAGTTGTGTTCTATTCACAGATAATCGATCCATGGGGTACTGTAATTGCTCAATGTCAGGARGGGACTGGTTTATGTACTGCAGAGATCGATTTAAAGTACTTGAATCAAATTCGTCTTCAGATGCCTGTATGGTCGCATCGTCGGGCGGATCTCTATGGAGATCTTTCGCCAAAACTTTAATTAGGGATTTTAAGAGCGTTCGTATCACGTGAGTAATGGAATGGTGACGAGGGACGCCATTTTTAACAAAGCATGATGGGAGATCTATTCTGCGCATGTTTTGCTTTCCTTTAAAGACGTCCATTTTGTTTTTTGTTTGTTTTTTTTTTCTTTGCAAAATCCGTAAAAATATTCACCTTTTTGCAATGAAATTACAATTTATTTTGATTAGGGAATGGGAATATTGATAGCTAGTCCGTGTACTATAAATTTCGCTAAAATAAATATAATGAAGCGTTTTATGGGATTACGTAGGTATTCGCAAAAATTGTTAGAATGCTGATCAATGAGAATCGATACGACGATAAAGAAGTAAGTAATATCAAACACTGAGTATTAAGTCATCATGAATAGAGTTTTAAGGTTTTGTTAAATTCCATACATTTCTCGGGATTCATTTGTCTTTTCTGCCTATTTTATATAATTCCACGATTTTGAGAGTGTAAAAAATATGGATTTACAGTCAACTCTCGCTATTACGGACACCCTCGGGACCGTAATTTAGTATCCGCAGTAGCGAGAGTCCGTAGTAACGAGAGTTACTTTTAGTCATTTCTTTGTCGTTTTCGCCAGGGATTCAGTATTTTACTGTCCGCAATATCGAGGTGTCCGTTGTAGCGGGGTGTCCGTAAGGCGAGAGTTGTCTGTAACTGTAAAATAACATAAATTATACACCGTAAAAACTACGAGAAATAAATAGAGTTACTGAAGTTTCGCATGTTAATCCTTCGCCGAGGTGAAAAGAGGAAATGTAATTTAATTTTTATTAATTCAAAGCAAATTTTGATAAAAGAATCCAGCCAAACACAGTGATAAGAATAAAATTTGTTAAAAAGGCATTTGATGTGTGATAGCTCTTTTGAAGTCAATGCTGATTTGATCTCCTCTGAGTATGTCATTCTACTGAAACTAGTGGCACATTTTTCATACGAATAACGATCAAAATACGTTAAAGGACTAAGCAAACATAGACTTCTGAAACGTTTACGTCACTACGTGATTTTCAATGCATTGTGGGAATAGTTTCTAGAAATTAAAGAAAAAAAACAAAAGAAATATGCCATTTTCTGTCCCAAAAATGTCCTACAATGCATTGCGCATATGTGTCATGACCTTAAATCTTTAAGGCCGATTTAGACGGCACAACTTTTGCCTACAACCATCGCATGCAACCCGCGTAAGTCGTCCTTACAGCTTGGCTACAACAGTTGTAGAGATTTAAAACCAATTGCTAATAGCCCTACGACAGTTGTAGCCATGTTGTAAGGATGACTTAAGCAGGTTGCATGCGATGGTTGTAGGCAAAAGTTCTGCGGTTAAATCGGCCTTTAGATGTCTATTAAGGATAGGACTCAAAATGTAATCATATGCATTTTTTGTTTTTTATTCCCATGTTACAAATGAATAATCGACCTCCGAATCTTTTACGTCACTTACTTGATTTTCAATGCATTGTGGGAACTTTTTCATGTAGAAAACAAAAGTAATCCGACATGTTCTGTCCCAAACATATSCTACAATGCATTGCGTATACGGTATATATGACGTAAAAGCTYCCAAGATTTTTTCGGTACAAGRTATATTGTAGGTGGATTAATTTTCAAATTTCCTTAGTCGCCGAACACTTGTATCGTCTCSTTGTTCATACATTTATCCACGATAAGWATTTTTCCATATTTGTCACAGATCATTTTGGAACACGTTTCGTCTTCRATCACAGTATTTATGTCGTAGCGTTTGCCTTTGTATGTGCAATGGTCGGAGTRATCGGGTTTGAAGGCTTCTCCCGGATGAAGATTCATCATCGCCATTAGGAGTATAATTGCCATGATTTTTCTCATTCTTCAAAAAGTATATGCAATCCTAATGGAAAAAAAGGAAATAGAAAACCAATTAACCTCTTATTTATTGACTTTAATGTATTGGTTTTTATTCGGTTGCGATAAATATGTTTTTCCACACGAGAACCTTGCGCGATTTGCTCACAAACTTTGATTTTGAGCCAATCAGAAAACAACTTTTAACTTGCAAGATTTATTGCTTTTAAATGCCGAATTGCATCCGAATGCACTTAAGCAGTCGTTTACTTTGTTTTTAAACAAGAGCTGTCGTTGAAAGTTGCTTTTTGATTGGCTCAAAATCAACAAAGATGGTATTCTATTCAATAACACTAGCATTCATGCTCAGCTGCAATGAGTACGTATGGGGCAAAAATATTGGTCAGCGGGGTCTCAGTCAAGTTGGGACAGCTTGGCTAGAGCGGTCATTTGGCCTGAGTACGACCCAAACAGGGTGGGCTGGGAGGGACGTTCACCAAACTCCGTCTGACCGTGATACTGAGCAGGAAGGAGTGAAATTAACCGATTTCAGCTTTATAACCAATCCCTGCACGTGTTTATTCCCAAAACATGCAATTAGGGGTCCCTTGGGAGTTATAAATACCACATTTCATCTTTGCATATCATTACGAGTGTTATGAATAGTGATTTTATTGTATGTGAAAAAGTCGCGCAAAGGCTCTCGGGTGCACGTGGGCCTTTTTAAGAATGTCAATTTTTCCTTTTTTTCCTTTTTATTCGGAAAACATTTGGCGTCGAAAAATTGAAGTGTCATTTGATTTCTATAATATTTCGGTCTGATAGTATACATACATATCCTTTTAAGTCGTTAACGTGAGCCCGAGGTTTTGTTCTGGGCTAGCATAATTTGAACTGAAAAGCGACTCTTAATTCGAGCCACGTCCAAAATCTTCTGAATACAAAGCGCGCCGCTTTAATTAAACGATATATTGTAATATCCAAGTGCTTATCGCATTCCTTTGGGGTCGTAAAGGTTGCGTGGAACCAACTGATTTATGCGTTAAGGGGAAACAAAGGCTGAAAAATTGGCAGTTCAAAAATGTCAAACAAAACTAGATTTTCAATTTAAAGCAATAAAAAAATGTATCAAGTCTAATAAATATAAACTGAGTTTAATCACTTGACCGCAGACGTAGAATTACTTACTCAAAATTTCGTTTTGTGGCTAATAGTGAACATGCAAAACGAATAAAAGTCTGGAAGTCGACACAATATAGAACCCTCAAGAATTCCCCTCCCATGTTTTTGCTTTAAAATATAAATAAATATTTTCTGCTGCAGTTAATATTGAGTTTTCTAGGTATAAATATTAACGCTTATAGACAAAAACGCCATGAATTTATCAATATTACCTCAAATCAGAGAATATCCCAAGCGGAAGGTAATGTCAACAAGTACGCTGTGATGTTTCAAGGAGCACCGGACGTCAAGTGGCCGTTTGTTCCCTATCTTCATAAAGTTTAGAGGTTTATTACAGAACTAGAAAATGATCAAAACACTTTAATTAATTTGTGAGAARGTCATAATTGATATGCTCAAGTGATTGACGTTTAAAAAACAGTCTAATGAAAATTTGTGTTATTTGGCTGCTTATTTTTTAATTTTATCATTGACGATTAGTAGGTGAAGAGTGCCATATAAAAAAAACTTGTGCAGTGAGAATAGTAAACTTTAGATATTTTGGTTCGATGAATATGTACAAAAGAACGCACACGAGGCTCCGTGAAAATAATGGATAATCTTGCCTTATTATAGACCATTTCAGATTTTCAGAAAGATTTTCCTTGTATTTGACCTTCAGTTCATGGCAAGAGTCATGTGACCTTTTGAACAACGAAAAGTTTGATTGATTATCTAAATTTTAGATTTAATCTCTTAGCAATTATTTTCTAGCATTGATAGTTGACATAGTTTTTATGTAATTATATAAACATAAAAATAAGTAACTAAAGTCCGCAGTCCTCGTCCAAGTTCCCGGTGTTAATTCAGCAGACAACACTTCCGGGAAAACCTGCTCACAAAAGGTCACGCATCGCATCCAGTATTGTTTGAAGTTTGTAGAACTTTAGTGTACTACAGGGTTAAATATCTTCGGTGGGCTGTGAGAGGAAAATGAAAACACCACGTCTTCTTTCTTGAAAGTGATATCAGAAACAAGAGGAAGCCAAGTTTGAGTTCGAAGTTCTCGTTTACAACATGGCTTCAATCGAGCCAGAAACCAGTACTGTTGTGACTTCAGTCCACCTTCAAGAGCTAACGGACCAAGCGCCACCGTCTACTGCAACACTGATAACCGAACCAGACAACGAACTATTACAAGCTGTTGAGGAAAATGASGTGGCGAAGGTGAAGGATATATTTGCGAATAGACAAAAAGTCGACGTCAACTTCATCAATGCTTCGGGACAAACGCTCCTTCAAATCGCTGTTGTTAACAGATCGACAGAAATCATACAAATCCTCCTGGAAAATGGCGCTGATGTTGGAAATGCTYTGATTCAAGCAGTYTCGGAGGAATCACTMGAGTGTGTGAAGATTTTACTSGAATTTCAAGAGCTGCAGTCTAATTACTCGTCCTCRTCGGACAGYAACAATGTTTATCGAGCAACACCTTTGATTCTCGCCGCTAAAAACAACAGCTATGATATCGTTAAATTCCTTGTTGGTAAAGGACATTTTATCGATGACCGTGACCTCCATAACAGAGCTTGTGAGTGCACAAAATGCGAAAGTGAAGGACGACTCGGGTGCTCTCTTCGTCGMCTCAATGTTTACCGAGGACTGGCCAGTCCWACCTACCTSTCTTTGGCATATCTTAACCATTCAACAGATTCTGCTTTAGCAAAGCAAGACCCGATAATTCGCGCTTTTATTCTGAACAAAAAACTTCTTAGTCTTTCTAAAACGGAGTACGAGCTTAAGGATGAGTATTTGGCGCTGGCTGAGCAGTGTGAAGACTTTGCTGTGTCTCTTCTCGACGAGTGTAGAAATATGTCTGAGATTGAACAACTAATGAGCATCCCTATACTGGAGGACATGCAATACGTCAAGATTCTTGGACGCGATGATATCTCCAAAAAACTCAGTGTTCTGAATTTTGCAATCAAAAATGACAACAGAAAGGTTAGGAATTTTTGTCATTAATAATAACGAATAAATATAAGTTATGTTTAATTAATCATATAAGGGGGGACCACATGGACAAGGATCAGAAAGGTGCTTGGTGTGGACGTGCACCAAGTACGTAAGATGATGATGGCGAAGGCCGATTTCAAGMGCCTGTTGGATGCTAGCTGCAACAACAGGAGCACCCCAAGGGTTTAGAGACTTAAATGGGGGAGACATGATGATGATGATGATGACTTATTAGAATTTTGAGGGGGGAGGGGGGTTGGAAGATTCTGAAAAACAATTTCCTGCATTCCAATCAAATTAGCACCTTCGCATTTCGATCTCATCCCCTCCCCCCTCCCCTCCCAAAAAGCAAGAATCTCAAGAAGAGAATCTCAAGAAGTTTGCCGCTTCAATATTGCAATTTATTATTTCAGTTTGTGGCACACAGCTACAGCCAGATGATGCTCAACTCTGTCCTCTACAAAGGATTTCGAAAATGGGAAAACTATGGCGCCATTAGAAAGATAACTTTAAGCATTGTATATACTCTTCTCTTACCATTATGGTCAGTTCTGTTCATTTTCTGCCCAGAGCATCATTGGTCTAAACTGCTGAATACCCCACTAGTGAAGTTTGTGGCTCATACAGGATCATTTTGTATTTTCCTCATATTGCTGTTCTTGTCTTCCATTCAAGACAGGTTTGATAATCCTTTGCAGGTATCTTTTTTAGGTAAGTTGAAAATACCCTCCTGGGGGGTGGACTCCCTTATAATAGTTGGTAGGTATGCTCGACGGACGTTTTAGGGTCGGAAATAAAACCCTAACGTACCTTTTAGGGTCCTGAGCTGATTCCGTACCTTCAAGGGTCAATTTTCAAATTTTTAGTTTCAATTTTTTTTTAATACCTACCAACTTTTATTAGGGAGCCCCTGCCCCTGGGAATACTCTGCAATACAAGAATATTACAGAGAATATAATAATAATAATCATAATCATCATCAATCATTATTATTAATCTTTAACAATAATTAATGTCCAAGAGGTGGATGTTGACCATAAATGTTGCACTAAAATATAATAATTAAAAGTATGAAATCCATATTTCTACAATTGTTCAAAATAGTTCATAAAATGATGAAAGTGCATAAAATAATACAAAATAGTAGTAGTACTAATTTTTCACACTTTACATTTTTCTAAAATCACTSTGACTTCATCTTTTCATTCTATACTTTTTGTTATTTTATTATTATTTTTATCATTTCAAAAACCAACATTATTTTTAAATTGATTTATCTATATTTGACCAAAAAAGGCCCTAGGAACAAGGTTGGTCATAAGAATTTCACAAACAAAAAATGACATTTTCAGATTGCCTTCTGATCATCTGGATCACCGGTCTTGCTGTGGAAGAAGTGAAAGAAATCATTCGYCAAGGAAGAAATCGATATTTGTCTCAGTTTTGGAATATTGTCACCGTGTTRATGCTTCTGCTTTTCTTTATTTCTGCTGCTCTCTGGATAAGTGGATACGCAATGTCCAAAGAAGCCTCTTGGGCAATATCTCTCAAAAAGGTATCAATCTATTAAGCAGTGACTTTCCCCATGACATATTTGCAGAATCTGAAATTAAGAACTTGCATTCTCAATAGAAAATTGAAGGCTTTGGTTGGAGACAAGTGAGTCTTTGTTTTGATTGGTACAAAAATTACCATGCGCCATCAGTATGCATATATCGTACGATCCAGATTCTAGATGTTCAGGTATAGTCTCCAAACAGAGCCTTCAATTTCATTGGGAAAATTGAGAAGAATCTGGGTAYAAGAATGATGAACTTGGTAAATTTTTCCCTTCGGGATGCAGAATACTTGGAATCTGGACTCCATGGCAATTGAACTTGGAATTCAATAAAAAAGAAGAGGAATCTGGAATCAAGAAGCTTGGAATCCAGAATTGAGGCCTTGGAATCTGGAATCCAGTAATGCTCCAGATTCCGTGCAGTGGGGTGAAGTTACTGTGCATGCAAATGACTTTTTTGGTCTTAAATATCTTTACAACTCAACAACGATGGGATTGACTGTATAATAAAACAATCATTGAATTGATATCCGAATAATCACAATCTAGATTAGCATTGCTCCAGTTTTATTCACCATAATCAATGTGCAACTTACAAACTGTTTTTTTTTTCATCTATTTAGGCTCTTGGGTTATCAGAAGATGCTTTGAAGTCCTACCAGTTAATTCTGAGTTCCAATAGCTGTTTTGCTGTGGGGTATCTACTTGCATTTCTGCATATTTCCAATGCGCTCCAAGTGAACTCAGTGATGGGTCCTTTGCAACTGTCCTTGGTTAAGATGACCAGAGATATTCTCAAGTTTTTCTTTCTGTTCATTTTGATCTATGCTGCTTTTACAATGTCCATCAGAAAGGTTTATTCACAATATGTGTGGGCAGAGAGTGTGGTTGGTAACCATACTTTAAAGGACGATGGTTTTGCAAGGTAMGTTTTATGCATTAGTCAGTCAAAAGCACGTTTAATGGCTGTTCGCATTGGCGATTTTTGCAGCGATTTCAGGAGCAATTTGTATTGCAATTTCAAGGGTGTGTGAACGGTCATTTAACGCTAGAGCGGATTTCGTATGAGTGGGAAACAGACGGTACTGTACTGTGACCATAATCGTACTGTAACCAAATTCTAGTGCCCAATTGGTTCACCAAAATTGTGCAGGCCAGGTCCGGTAACTGTGCGGTAACGGTGTCCCACTCATACTAAATCCGCTCTATGGGGATTATACGACCAACCCCCCTGCCCCAACTCCCCCTCACTCCGGGTCATTACACATTCAGAAAATTTCTGAATTATTTCATATCTACAGATGTACGCTTTTTTCTGAATTTCTTTATATGTACTTTATAGATTACAAATATGAAAATTTAGAAAAAAATCATTTTATCAGTACTAATGCAAAAACTCAGAAATTTTCCAAATATATCAATTCCCCCTCACTAACTCTTGTGAAGAAAAAGGAATATCTCGTACTAGTATTATTGATAACTAAGATTCGGTGTTTATGCCTGAATTGCCTATTATAGTCTGTGGCACTCCGTTTTACGGGCACCCGCTTAATGCGGTCGCTCTGTCATAACGGTCAGATTAKAACTCATACTTTTCTAACCAGTTTAAACGGCCACGCCGTTAACACGACCACTTTTCGATGCCTCTGATGTGGCCGGATTAATGAAGTACCTTTATACATCATCTGCATCATCATGATGTTGTTTCTMTTGTAGTGTTCTTGGCAGCATGCGACTGATGTTTTGGGCGGTGTTTGATAAAACCGAACTATCTCAATTCGAAACAAAATCATTCCCTTCCAAAATAACGCAAAATACTGGTGAATTCCTGTTTGCATTGTTTAACATTGCCACCTTACTGGTTGCTATAAACATGTTGATAGCTATGATGAGCAACTCATTTCAGTCCATCGAGGTAAGCAATATTTATTTGACATTCACTATCACTATATACGTCACAGCGGCCATCTTGGATGAACTTCAACAAAGGATCTATTGTTCATTCCTCCAACATGGCCGCCGATCTTTTATCGTTTGATTCTTATCAATAATTTTCAGGGTTCGTGCTACTCCTTGAAAAACTTGACATCGCTTTGACATTCCATTCTTTCATTTTTTTTAATCAGGGAAGTCATTTTTACTTTTCTGAGGGATGAGTAGTATGATATGTTCGTACGCAACCATCCAACCACAGTGATTASTAGCGGCCCTCTTTACTCGTCCACAGGGTTCCCAAGAGGGCCGCCGCGCAGGCTACACTCTAATCTGTATTCTAATCTTTCAGGACAATTCAGATATCCACTGGAAGTTTTCAAGGACGCATATGTGGATGCAGTTCATCGACAAAGGCAGCGTACTTCCTCCTCCGTTCAACATTGTCCCAACTGTAACTGATTTTCTACATCTGTTTCGATTATTGTTCACTAAATGGTGCAAATGTTGTCCTCAGGTACCTTTAGCCTTTCTATCCTTAGGAAAACGYCTTTGCGTAGAGTTATGGAATATGTAAAATATGAGCGGGAGACCTTTATGGCCATTTACAACCGAGAGCTGCAAGCGATATATATTGCTTATCAAATTTCAACATAAGCTAAAGCATGTTTTGCTAAAAAGAGAAATTAGAAGTTAAATGTCGTATTCAAATCAGGGCTCAGGCTCTCTCGCTCAAATAGAGATGCGGTCACGCCAATGATTTTCCATTGTGTTCAACTCATGAATAATTAATGAGTATGAGAAGTAGATATACTAGATGGGCGCGTGGAGAGACGGATTTTATTTTCGAGATATCTCGCGAGTGAGCGCAGCTAGAAGATGAATCTGTATATCTTTAAATGTGTCTTGTTTTCAGTGCAAATGTTGTGGTGATAGAGGAATGGATGTTTTTGAAAGTCAACATAACAACAACGATTCCTATCGGGTAAGATTTAAGAGCTCTGAAGTAAATATTTTACAAAACAACGTATTTAAAAGCAAGAGCTTGAACTTTTTATGATATTTGTGTGTGAGTGATTTGTGGAGAAATTCATACGAAATCGTGTTTGGATTTTTACGTTTCAATCGCGACCATGAAATATGTTTGTTTTGTTGTCATTAACCATACATGATGATGATGATGATGATGATAAAGAGAAAAAAACTGATTTATGAGGATCAGTACTCTGTTGCCGTATCTTAAAAATTAAACGTTGACTATGTGATGTTTATTTTTCAGAGAGAAAAGTTAATAAATCACTTGATCCAGAGGCATTTTTACCATCTCACAAAAGAACGCGATACAGGGAAGAAGTCTGAACAAGTTAGTCATAAACAAGACGAACTCAATGCTTTGACAAGTCGCCTTGAAAAGTTCATGGCAAAGCTGGAAGAAAAGGTACAACAACGAGAGCAGACCACAGAACAAGACTTTGTACGTATATGACAGAATACCTTATACTTAGACCCCTATTATAGTTACCTAAGGAAGCCTTGGTGGGGTTCAATTTCGAATCTTTGACCATCTCACTTTTCTAGCACTTTAAACGCTAATATAAGAGTTTTCAACCATCTGAAATTCGTTTTATGGTGATACACTGGAAAATATCGCGCGCTTGAAAGGTTGTAAATTTGATGTAAATATGATTTAAGTGACCAAAATTCTGTAAATTTGATGTAAATGATTTCCATTGAATTTACAGAATTTTGGACAATTACATCATATTTACATCAAATTTACAACCTTTAAAGCGCGCGATGTTTCAGTGATACTAGAAGTATTTTGGTGTAAATCATAACAATAACAGAGGCGCGCAAAGCATAATGGTGCAAACTGGGACTTTAAGTACTATCGCCACCAAGTTGGATGGATAAAGAAAAGAAACTCTATCGGGCTTATTCATTAACGTGTACTTTAATGAAAAAGCACGATAGAGTTTCACGTGAACTCATGACCAAGGAATCCTTTAATAATCAAGACTGAATCCCTAAACCTGTCAACGCCATGTTAGTGATGAATGAACAAGAAAAGTTATTGTAGCTTCACCCAACATGGCTGCTTTGACGTAACGTACAAAGCAAGAATTCACTAAATGTTAATGGTTTATTCCAGGAAGCTGAAGAACTCTTGAATCTTCGGAAGAAATTGAACAGGAAAACGTAATTGAACTGACCAGAAAAGTTGCGTGAAACAGATACCACGTGTTAAAAGATGGACCAAAGTCCCGCATATATCTGSAAGTGACCACGGCACTTCAGATCAGTTGAAAACTAGATCCATTTTTGACAAACAATCATTTAAACACGGGAGCTGATTGGGATRAAATGACTGAAAAAAGACACACGTGTGGTTGTTAGTTGTAGGACTTCTGAAATAGCCTCGATCTCTCTTCTTTTGGGAGGGACAGGAAGCCCGACAAAAGGGGAGGCTGCGAAGGAGACTACGATCTGCACATTGACGAAAAAACTTATGATCTAGCAATATATTAATGTTTTATTATGGAATGAGCTGCATTCGAATATCAAATAACTAATTGTTTTTATAGTAATCCTATAGATGAAATTTCAAAATGTTTTGGGACAGATATCAGCATCAAGACTGCTGGTGTTGACGGCAGATAACCGACGAATGTACCAGTCGAGAATTAAATGGTCGAAAATGAATACTAGTAGAGATATTTTGAAATAATGGATAGTGGCATTCTATTCAGAAAATGGGGTCTGCTCAGAGAGTGTGTTTTTATAGCTAGAGTATGTTCAATAAGTATCGGTTCAATAGCAGAAGTGCAAAACTGTCAATAGCCAATGTGCGCGGGCGACATCTTGGATATTGCCGTGGAATGAGACCTGCTCGCTTTATGCGTCTTCGATATAGCACAGTTTTCTCAAATTTTCTCGGAACCGCGATGGGTAAAAAGTTGCTAGAAAATTGGCTGTTGTCATGAAACCTTTTTTTGTTGTTGTTGTTGGGCATTTTACAAGTTCGAGTCGGGGAGCAAGAAAATTAAGTTCTTTTTAAGACGTCATGCTGGTAGACTATGGGAGGTTTTTTGATTTTTATAAAGAAGTAAACAAAGAATCTGCATGCATAATTAAAGTATATATTGTTATTTTGTGTCATGCAAGCTTATATAATGCTTAAATTCGCTCTGTATGTTCATGTGTTTTCTTTTAATCGAGGGCATTATATGCTGTCATAGTTGCCCGCGTAAACTGAATTTGCGTATAGAGGGTGAGATATCAAGAAAAACGGCAAATTACGCCTTAATTCAGATAGTGCTAAAACTGACTGCATTTATGCGAGGTAAGAAATATGTCTCTTACTTATTTTTTCCCATCAAAAATGTCATATCTGTCATATATACATGCATTCTAGATATCGCTAATTAAATGAGCTAGTTGCCTGTTATAGTGTGACTCGACTCGGAAATTTGTTGTTGACAATATGACACAACCACCCCTCCCATCATCGTTAATTTATGCATAGCCATTTCCCGGAATCACCTTTCATACCATTTCTAGTCTGAACAAGAAGGACACTTTGAAACGATGGAGTTTTGCCCTTCGTCAGGTCGGATTCTTGCAACTTCAGCTACTCCAGACCCTTCGGTCACTAAAGCATTTAAAGTTTACAACTTTATTGTGTCAAGAGGAGGCGAAATTGGACTTTCAGAGCTTCTAAAACATCCCTCGCCATTGAAGGATTTTTCCGAGGGTCAAGCAGCCGAATGGCTTAAAGGATTCTCTGAGCCTGTTCAAGGCGACCAGYCTCTGGAGAAACCATGCTTTACTTYAATAGTTGGTARATTTTGGAGYGTCCGAGTGTCCTTGAGGGTAAAGTTGTGCTCAAATTATGAAAAGAAAGGAGCTTGTACTCATGGAAATGGCTGTCTCCAGTGGCATGTTTGCCGTGGATATCTCGACACTACGTGCAAAAATAAGGCCTGTCCTTTGTCACACGACCTTCTCGATGAGCAAAACATACAAAAAGCTAAAAAATACATGCTTGAGAAGCATCCAAGCAATTCTATTCGCAAAGTTCTGGCGAAAAATCTTCCCTTTGTATGTGAAAAATACATAGATTCTCAGTGCAAAGCAAAAGTTTGCCACGACTTGCATCTTTGTCCTTTATTTGCTAGAGGAATCTGCAYAAATACTRACCAGGACTGCCCTTTCTCGCACAATGCCGACTTTGGAAACAATAAGGCAATATTTAAGTACTATGGGATTCCTACAAAGTATGTGTTAGCTCATATTTTGATTCCAAAGTTGATAACTGTTCCTGACAAGACGAAAGTCGAACAGCCGGTGGCAGCGGAGAATAACACAAGACCAAACCGCAAAGGAAARGTGAACAATCTWAATAATTTAAACACTGAGTCCGGACCTTTGYCTTTGGCTAACCAAAATGTGCCAATGAACATTGAAGAATCAAAAAAAGTGGGAARCCAMAAGAAYGTGAACAGAGAAAAGAAAGGCAATGTTTCAGCCCAGAAAAACCCTTTGAAGCCATTGATGGCTCAACCAATTCAATCTCCACTAGGGTACCCACAGGTCCCTTTTGCATTATTGCCTAACCCCCCATCCTCCAGTGCAAATGTTCTTCAGTTGGGTGGCAATCCAATTATAGTTCCAAAATCAAAAGGTGCTGTACATGTACAACAACATAAGSAATATTTTGGGAGTAGAGATAGTCTTTCCAGTACTGAYGATGATCAGKCAAGTAATAAAGATGGTGCCTATTTAACATCTGGTGCTAAACCAAAACGAAAGCAAAGAAAACCACAGCCTMGTCAAGAGGACCCCATTCCAACAGACTTGGCATCTMTTKCTTCAGATCAGGATCAATCAAAGGGGGGTCGCAATAGACGGAGTCGTAACAGGAACAAAAGACAAGGRTCACAAGATGMCAACAAAGAGACCAGCCAAGAAAATRAAGATTCCAGTGTTGTTGATTTGATTGAGTTTGATAATGATGATCTGGAAGGAGGAAAGCTTATTGATCTTGATTTTGACTATTCCGACCCAGGCCTCAGTCAGATGTCTGAGGGCCAAGCCCAAGCGACATGGGATTTGTTCTGYAAAGATAACTGGCTCTGTGAAGAACCTGCTGAGGAAAACCCGTCTCTTGAATCACTATCACTTGATGAAGCAGCAACATCAAAAGAAAAGATAAAGAATGCGTCTTTAAAAGGAATCTTCAATTACACTGTAAAGCATGGTGGATCCGTTAAGTTTTCTGAAATTTGCAGTAATTCTGATCTTTGGGATCCCTGTTTCACTGAGCATGAAAAGTGGTTCAGGGACAGAAATCAAAGTTTTTTACTATCAAGTGATGCAACTGGAAATATTGATGACGTAAAGGCTATTTCATGGAAGGCCAAAATGTGTTTGAAGTACAACGCAAGGGGAGCAGGCTGCACTCAAGAAAATTGCCCATATTTTCATATATGCAAGGACTATGTTACCAAAGGAAGATGCTCGAACTTTCGTGGATCGTGTAAAAAGAACCATGGATTTAAAGATGGTCATAACAAGGCCATTGCCTCCAAGCTGTTTCCTGATAATGATTTCACCAGTAAACAGCTTAGACAATTAGTAAGTATATTTGTGTTTTATCCTGAAAATTACTTGGCTATACAATCCCCTTTTAATAAGTACCGAGGTATTGTGTTCTCCACACTTGACATCTCTTCTTTTGAATTCCTTTTGTATTGTAAAAATTTCACGAGAATGAATTTGATGTCAAGTGTGGAGAACACTTATACCTCGGGACTTATTAAAAGGGTGTGTATGTATAGCAGACCAAAACCAGTAACCATCKCCTTCCCGAATCCCTTGCATAGCTATACTCAAAGTTTATTAACAATCTCATTGTTATGCTAATGTGCCAACCATGATCAGAATGTCTTGTCACAAGTCGCTTCTGGTTGGCACATTAACAACAAAGGTTTATGTCACATTGAAAGTGAATTAATTTTTATTGAATATTAATAGCTTTTTAATTGAATTAATAGCTTATCTCATCCACACCTCAAATCTGCATGGACTACAACAACCTCAAATGCAASCAAGGAAATAGGTGCCTTAAAGTCCATGTTTGCGAGAACATAGGGCACAAGAAGTGTACAAAAAGCCCATGCAAACTGGCCCACGAAAATGGGCTGAAAAGCCCAAGGACWAGAGCTTTGTTAGCCAAATTGGGGATCCGTTTTCATCCCAAGATCAACTTGTTTATGCTCGCTAGAACACTGCTTGTTGTTCATGATGCTGGAGCTCATCCTGTTGGAAAATCTGGTGAAAGTAATCAAAAGGAAGCAGAAAAACCAGTAACAAGCGTCAATAAATCTGATCTGCCACAATGTAAGTAAATAAAATCATTGTCACTGGCTCAAAATAATGGCTGGTCTAAAGGCAGTGTCCTTGCAAATTAGCTAGATGACCGGCCAAATCGGGTTTTGCGGAAATGACAAATTAACCTGCCACATTTTTAGACATCAAATAAAAAAAAACAATCAATTCTCAATTCGCTAAATAAATCTTTTACAAAACATTAAAATGCTTGCCAACGTTTCTAAATACAAAAACCTATGAATTAAAAGAAAATAATAGTATTATAATAAAGTTTTTGTCCTTTCAAAATTCAACATGACCTTCCAAAAATGAATTTGGAAGGACATCTTCCCCTGCATATGTCTGGCTGTATCAATGTGAATGCATATGCATTGGAAAGAATTACCCTATTTCACTATGACATCACAGTATGTGACTATATGGTACATCGAAAACAATGCTCAAACCCATTTATATTGTCTCCTGAACTTGAATGAATCATGTTTTGAGATATATATCATGATTGTTAAATGATTGCTTATATAATACATTGATGCAGTCAGTCTGATCCTTCTAGCGACCATAATTCTTAGCGTTAAAACAGTAGACATGACATCATAACAAAACAGGGAAATTTATGATTATTAACTCATTTGGCACCATTTTTAACTCGGAGATTGCGTAGCAATCGTAGAGTTATTGGGAGGGCACAAGCTGTCACTCGCTCGATCGCTCGCTCGATCACTTTCCTGTAAATTCGAGCCTGCGATGTCTTTGTCAGCAGTTATTCATTTAATCATATTAATGTATTCTACTTAATTATTATTTATCATATCTAATTTTTCTTTAGTGGTTTCCCTGTGCTATATCTGACTGAATTGATTTATTTTTTGGCAAATAAAGAAATCAAAGAAATGGGTCACCTGGGATTTGAACCCGGGCCCGCTGGATTGGAAATCAAAGGCACTACCGATTAGGCCACGCGTGCTAATGTTACATGATTTCGGGTAGACTTGTGTTTTAAATGATGGGCGCTCGCCCGTGCTTGTCTAGAATTCGAAGTTAAAACTATAAGATTTTAACGAAAAAATCTGCATTCAAATGTCGTTTACATAAAATTCTATTTGTAAAGTAAATCTAATTTGATTCGTTGTATTGTTCAGTCACAAAGGAAGCATGAGGAAGACTCGCCGATCCGACATTAAATTCGTCTCAAAAATCATTTTACGTGTGTTTTATTTATCCACGTTCGTCTACAATTCAAAAAATATATTCGCTCGCTACCGTACTATTACATTGTAATATTTGATACATAGTTCATTGTGTGGTTAGACATCGATAATACTATTTTGAGCCGCTACGGAAACTGGCAAACAATAAAAGCAACGGTGCGTATAGTTGGTCGGGGATTCGAACCGACTTTCAGTTGTTTAATTCACCGTTACGGAGTAAGCATTCTTAAAAGAATTGCTGGAAAAAATAATAAATAATAATAAAAAATAATAATAAAGAACAAAAAAAAAAGAAAAAAACAAACATATGATGTCATTTGAGATTCGAACCTCTTGATCTGTGAGCCTGTGTTTTAACCACTAGGCCACGATGTCAAACTTTGTACAAGCGTGGCTAAGACTGGGATTTATTTCGCCGTCACTCGCCGTGCTTATCAACACAGCCGAAATATTTTAAAAGTAGTAAGATTGTAACGAAAAAATTTCATAAATCGTTTACTTAAAATTGTAATTGTTAAATTGATTCATCGTACATCTATCGTTCTGTATCAATCTCCGAGTTATGCCGCCATTGGCTGCTTGATTCAAATGTATTTCTCTTTAGCATATTTACAAAACAGGTTATAACTGGTTACGCACACAGTTTGGCACCTTTACGTGAGGTAGTTCAAATAAATCAAATACGGAAGTGAAGTAAATTGTTGACGAAAGTCATTAAATAATGTAAATGAAGGAATTAGAACAAGAAGATGACATAATTGGATCAATACACAAATTAATTTAATATAATAAATCTATAAAAATGAAGTATTATAAAGAAAAAATATTGATGATATTCTCACTTTTGTGTTATATTAGACAACATCAAAACCCCAGATATTGGCCATCCGATATGCCTTGCGTTTCTTATTGGTAAATGCAGCAAGGGAASCAAGTGTTGTGATCATCATTGTCCTTTGCCATACCAATGGGTCTACTTGTCTGGTCAACAGTGGAGGATGTTAGACAAGAAGGAAAATGAAGATTTAGAAAAGCTGTTCTGTGAAGACAACATCAATGATGAATGTGTTGTTATATCTTTGAAACTGGATTTGTCAACACAGCCAGAATTGTAAGTCCATGGATGTCTCCTCAGCTTATCTCTTCTTCACAATTTTCTTTGTTATTGTCTTCAAATCTCCCTGAAATTCCATGTCGGCCTACAACATTCTCTTCTACAGTCCTTTTTATTCTATTCAATCCTTTCATTTACTATTTTTTTCCTGTTCTTTTCTATTTTTATTTGTTCTTTAATTTCTACTATATTCTATTCCATTTTATTTCATTCTAGTCTTTTTTTCTTTTTTTTTTTCTTTTTTTTCTATTCAATCCTTTCGTTTACTATTTTTTCTGTTCTTTTCTATTTTTATTTGTTCTTTTCTACTATATTCTATTCCATTCCATTCCATTCTAGTCTTTTTTCTTTTCTGTACTTCTTTTTCTATTCAGTCCAATCTATCAATTTGTTCTTCAATCACATTCCCTTTGATTCTCATTTTTTTATCCTATTCATTCAATTTTTTCTGCATTCTCATCACGTTAAATCAACACAYGTTAAATTTTTTTCTGTATTCTCATCACGTTAAATCCTACAAATCAAATCTTTCTTTCATCCCATTTCTTCCAGTCAATTCATGTAGGCACATGCCATATTTTCAGACGCTGTCTTTGAAAATAAGCATTACAATGTACTGCCACCACTAGTGCCTCCCTCCACCCAACCCGATCCCCAACCCCTGTTCATTGTTGTCCAGGTAGTGCTCTTATTGCTTTATCATGTGAATCTGGGGGGGAGTTTAAAAGGGAAAAACTTGTACTTTAATCTTGAAAATGGCTGCTTAGGCCAAAAGCTCAGTTAAAATTAAAATTTAAAATTAAAATTAAAATTTTACACAGAAGACTCAAAAGTATTAATAATCAATAATATAATAATAATATTAATCAATCTCTAATGATTGCGTTTGTATTGATTTTACAGCTCCCACATGAATGATGTTTCATACATCTACAATGTTGACCTGAAGACAATGAATATTGAGTCTCTAGATAATGAAGGTCTTCGAGTGCCAGTAAAGAGACTGTCTACGGATTCAGAYGTCGTTGTCCCTGRTTGTCCATTAGCTACAACATGGCATTGGTACTGGAAAAATGAACACCACATATAYGTTGAATATGAACCTTCGCAGGTAGTTCTGTAGTCTTGTTGGAATTTCCATTCATAGTTCACCATAACGCACCACATCAAAACATGATCTATTTCACCCCATGTAAGAGAATCCAGAAAACTAGAGGATAATTCCAGATTCCGGATTCCGAATCATTGGATTCCGGATGAGTTTTTCTGATTTCAAAATTGTTGTCTTGATTCTGGATTCTAAATATTTGGATTCTGGATTCCAGGATATTGATTCTGAATTCCAAAGCTGTTTTTTTACTGAATTCCGGATTCTCTTACATGGGGCAATATGTACATAATATGTACGTGTACAAAATGTACATGTCTAATCATCTATACATATATATATCAAAACACTATTCATTGAAGTTTTACTTTAGGACACAATATAAATGATTTTTTGAGCTAAAACATTTTTGTAAAAAATTCTATTTGGAAAAAATTATTTACAGATAATTTCTCTCCTCTAGAAAATGATATGTCCTTAGAACCTGTGTGTGTACTTTATAAGACGCAGTTCTCAAGCGTGTAATTTACAAATATTATATGCACTATTATAATATTGATTTGTTATGAAGGGTTGCAAGGAACCGACATCAACATCCATTGAGAGGTTCTACCAGGAAGGAATGAGTAGGTATGACTTCATGTTTGGTCGCCATGAATACCGCCTTTACTTCAACGACATGATTCAGAAGAACATGGGTGAAATGTTCCTCACCAAGCGGACAGTAATGAGAAGGCCAGCATTTCTTAGTCCTGACAAAGTAAAGAAACTGAAAAGGTTAGAAAAACAAACAAACATTTCAAACTTTCTTTGATAAAATTACCAACTTATTTACACAATGTGCCTTGTGTATCTGTCATTGTTTCAGATGTCATTTGCTCAAACAAACAAACAAACTTAAGGATGATTAGATTATAAGAAGAAGATATTTTGCTTGTTTTTTTTTTGTTCTGTCTTTAATCGACTTATGCTTTAGCATTATGATTATTGTTATGCTTATGTCAAAGTCATATATTTCATGATTGCATGACCTCAATCCTTTGTCCTTTGTTCTCGACTTATGCTTACTTATATTGCATTATAACGTGGATCATATTATTGTGATA